CATAAATCCCTGCACCCCTTTGTTGCTGTTTCCTTGAAAAATTTTTTAACTCTTACTTTGTCTTTTTGTAACTGTTGCCTGGCCAATCTCACGAAGTCTTTTAATCCTTTTCCATAAGTTATCCATTGCTTTTCTTCATTTCTGTTGCTTTACTCTGAAATGCTGTACGTGGTATTCAGTATTATAGGAGTCACTCATCTTATTGGAGGAGCAGAATTAATATAAAACTATATATCAGCCGGCGCCGCTGCTCAACAGGCTAATCCTCCACCTAGCGGCGCCAGCACACCGGGTTCTAGTCCCAGTCGGGGCTCCAGATTCTGTCCCGGTTGCCCCTCTTCCAGGCCAGCTCTCTGCTGTGGCCAGGGAGTACAGTGGAGGATGGCCCAAGTCCTTGGGCCCTGCACCCATGGGAGACCAGGAGAAGCACCTGGCTCCTGCCTTTGGATCAGCGCAGTGCGCTGGCTGCAGCATGCCGGCTGCGGCGGCCGTTGGAGGGTAAACCAGCGGCAAAGGAAGACCTTTCTCTCTGTCTCTCTCTCTCACTGTCCACTCTCTCTGTCGGGGAAAAAGCAAAAACAAAAACAAAAAGACTATATATCATATCCTGTTGTTTCCTTGTGTATTGCTTAAAACTAGTTATTTCTCTGTGACATATGAAACGAGTCTAATTTTTTGGTTACTGTCTTCTCTGTTTTACTTTTGATTATTAAAATCTTTATAGTTAAACAGTTTGAATTTTTACTTATTTTTTATTATATCTTTAACATTTTTACTTTGAACCCGCCTGGGTTTTATTTTTCTTGGTGAATTTCAGAGACCTTTGTTTAATATCATGCATTTGAGGGTCCAGTGCCTTGGTGCAGGTTAATCTTCCTTCCGCCTGCAGCGCCAGCATCCCATATGGGCACCAGTTCTAGTCTTGGCTGCTCCTCTTCCAATCCAGCCCTCTGCTGTGGCCTGGAAAAGCAGAAAAAGATGGCCCAAGAGTGAACCATCAGATGGAAGGCCTTTCTCTTTGTCTCTCCCTCTCACTGTCTGTAACTCCACCTCTCAAATAAATAAATAAAATCTTTTTAAAAAATCATGCATCTTAAACTTTATTTCCATGTTTTTCCTTTAGGTCTTTTAAAAAACTTTAAAAATTAAATGAGTTTAAGGACTGGTACCTTTGTAAAGCCCAAGTACCTTGTTTGTTCACAAACTGATTTTTGAAATTTTCACCATAAATTATGCTGTGTAATTACTTTTAATCATTACTGAGACAATTTTTAAATTTAATTTGTAAAAACTGATTCTCAAGACTTATTAAAATAGATATCACAGTACCTCTGATGCCTGGAATATCTCTTATTGCTGATTAGCTTTTATTTAAAGGAGAGGAAATAATTTATGTTTTATGTTGGTTTGTTATTCTTACCTAGACTCTTAAGCCTGAATAAAAACTTGAAGACACTTCATTGTGGAATTTCTGTACAGTTTAAATGGATTATCATATGCCCTTGAAAACACACTATACAAACACATGTGTGCAGGCTGATGCACACAGAGCAGTTATTCAGAAGCACAAAACATGACTATACTGTAATTTTACAGGCTCTGAATGGGGGCATTTTAGCATAAAATTTCTTCTATACAAGGAAAGTGTCAGCTTCACTTCTTCCATTTTGAGGATCATAATTGATAGGAAAAGCCTACGATTTCCTAATAGCAACAATGAGAGTGAAATATTTTTGTAAATGTATTTATATGTTTGCAAGTGGTGCTTTTAAAAATGAGTAATTCAATGGGAATTATGAAAATTAAGATGTACTATTAAGTACTTGAAGCATGATCCTAAGATCTTCAAATAATTTGTCATTGTGTTGCACAATGTCACTCTAACTTGTTTTTGCATTTGTAGAATAAAGTACTATGCTAAATTATTTTAGGTATATAATTCTATAAAACCTTGGCATCTATATTGCAGTTATAGTGGACAAATGAAACCTACAAATGTATTCAGCAATACTGTCTTAAGGACTCAGTCATGTCATTTGGATTTTGGATAATTTGTAAACAGAGAATACCAGTTTTACAGCCTGGTGTATCTTAAATGATAGACTGTGTGTACTGTTTCTGATATAAAAACAAACAAATAAAAAGGCCTGCATTCTGCTTACTAAAACATTTGAAGCACACCCATAGAAATCATGAAGGAAAAATATTTCTTACTCAGTTTTTTTTTTTGAAATACTGGGCCTGTTGTGTATAAATATTTTGATCCTGAATTTTTGGTGCTGATGATAATATAAATTAAATATTTTATTATAAGCTGAGGTCAGAGTAGCTCTTTAACTGTGGTTGCTTCTTAAATAAGCTTCTGTAAATGGGCTTAAAATGATCTGGATTAAGTAAGAGTATACAGATCAGTGCTTCCTAGTCATTTGGAAAGTATTTAAAAGCTGTGGACCTCCTCAGGAAAAAAAATATTCTCATTAAAAAATTATCTATTTACACTCATATATCGCTGTAGTCTTGGTGTAAAATACAGGCCAATGGTGCATGACAGTGACATTCAGATAGAAGATTTGCCATATATGTAGATTCTTCACTTTTAATTTAATGAAAGTATCTCTTAGAAGTTTTGCTGTCATTTAAAACTTGTTCTGTGTATAGAATCAAGGCAAACTAATAAAATGTGGCCACTTCAAGTTTTGTGATTTGACATACATGGAGGACTGCTTAGTTGTGTTATAATATATGTATCTCTGTACTCTAAATAATAGGTGAATTTCAGTGTAATGCTTCGTTGTTACAGTTACATCGTCATTACATGATAAATCAAAAATTTTCCTCTAAAAATAGGTTGTTTGGTAAAAAACATTGAGTAGAACCTGATTTACCCACTTGGATTTTGTCTTTTTTGGCTACCACTGTCAGTAGGAACTTCTTTTGGGATTATTGTCCCTGTGATGAGTATATTAAGGGGAAAAGGAGTAGCCTAAAGCCTTGTAAGTTTCTGTATGTTTGTAATATTACCATAATATTAGATTTTGAATTTTATTTTTTAAAACTTTTATTTATTTAAAAGGTAGAGTTAGAGAAAGAAGGAGAAACAGAAAGAGAAAGAGAAAGAGTTTTTCCATCTGCTGTTTCACTCCCCAAATGGCTACAATTGCTGGGGCTGGACCAGGATGAAGCCAGGATCCAGGAGCTTTTTTCATGTCTCCCATGTGGATGCAGAGGCCCAAGGACACTTGGGCCTTCTTTTGCTGCTTTCCCAGGTGCATTAGCAGGGAGCTGGATCCAAAGTAGTGTAGCCAGGACTCAACAGTGCCCATATGGGATGCTGGCACTGCAGATGACAGTTTAACTCGCTGCACCATAGCACTGACCCCTAGATTTTTGATTTTTAGAAATAGTTTAGGACAGCTTGCTTTCCTTTTTATGGGAGTAAAACTCTGAGAGGCTAAGAGATTTGTCTAAAATTAAATACTTCATGGCAGAGTAAAAATTAGGACTCTAAACTTCCAGATTATTTTCCTTTGTCCACCTACTCAATGTATTCTTCTATTCATTCATTGATTCTTTGACAACAGCTTCTAGTCTGAAAAATCACCACTTTCAAAACTTTAAGTTTTGAAATATTTTACTGCTTGCAGATTTTCATTTAAAATCAGTGACTATACATTTAGAATTTTAGGTTAAAGCCTACACTAAAATTAAACTTTGAGGCTATGACTCATTTAACATTTCTTTTCTTAAATAAACCTTTTTATCAAATTGGAATACTTATGTCAAACATTTCTTAATACAAAGGGGTAAAATCATTTTTCTGCAGTTTTAATTTGGCTACTTGGAGGTACTTTTTGCTTTAGGGAGATAATGTGAAATGTTCTTTGGCATCAGATAATTAAAATGCAATTTTTTCCCCAATTCTATTTGTGGATGCAAAAATATTTATTCATTTTCCATTTTAAGTTTGGAATAGGGAGTAGTTTTTGATTTATAAGAATGTAGGCAGATTGGTCAAGGTCAGTAAATTGTTATAAAACCAATGGAGTAGAATTGTTTATGTCCTTCCTATGTATTTCTGTTATCAGAATTTTCCATCTGTCAATCTGTGTTTTGTAAATAACTTTTCCCTACTATCAGTAGCTAATTATTTAGCCAGCATTTTGGAGATTATTACCTTCTTAAAAAAAAAAAAAAACTTAGGGATTTAAATGATAAAAAAAAGTGAAGGTATGACTACTCAAAGTTGTAAAATGATGCCTGAACTTGACTTATATCCAGTGCCTAAACTGAGATGGTTGATTGCTATTTTGTGCATTTGTAAACAAGTTCTTAGCATCAGTTATAGAAGTTTTATATGAAATGCATTTTATAAGACCACAGTGTGGCAACTTTATTAATTAAAATCCTTTTCACAAAAATGTGTTAGGCTTTAGGCATTCTTCTTTAATTTATTGATTTAGAACCAGGTGTTTGAAGAAACACATGAAAAGATTTGGGATAATTGTAGTGCACATGATACCCAGCTTGCCAGTGGTATTTTTCCTGTTTTTTTTTTTTTTTTTCGGTGGTTTATAAAACAGAGTATTTAAAACATTTTCTAGAATTGTTTTACTTCTTTAGTAATATGCAGTGTTCTATCCTAAGGATTTCCAGTTAGTTTTCATTTTGTAATGCAGATGCTTTGCTATGATATAAAACATAATGACATTTTAATTAGGAACATAGATCATGAGAACTCCATATGAGGGAATAAATTTCCCAATGCTTCCATGTTCTACTAAATTGGAATGGAAGATACATTAGGATTTACATTAAATTGGATCAGTTTTGAAAGTTGACAAGTCAGGGGGACAAGGGGTGGAATGGGGATACAGAGTGCATTTGGGACTCCATGATGAGAGGTGGGATTAGAATAGCCCTTCAGTCATGAAGAGTAAGGAAATTTTGACCCGAGCATTCAGGTTATGTGGTTCTTTCTGCCCTTTTTTTGTTTATTACAGGCAAAGGGGAAGATAGTGATGTACTCAGTATAAATGCAGATGCTTACGACAGTGACATAGAAGGCCCCTGCAACGAAGAAGCAGCTGCTCCTGAGGCTTCAGAAAATACAGTCCAAAGTGAAGCTGGTCAGATAGATGACCTGGAAAAAGACATTGAAAAAAGTGTGAATGAGATTCTGGGACTGGCTGAGTCTAGCCCAAAGGAACCAAAAGCAGCCACCCTGACTGTTCCTCCACCCGAAGATGTTCAACCATCTGCACAGCAGCTGGAGCTGCTAGAACTTGAGATGAGGGCAAGAGCGATTAAAGCCCTCATGAAAGCTGGTGATATAAAAAAGTCAGCCTAGTTATTTAATGTGAGTTTGAATTTTGAGTGTGTTTGAATGAAGCCATGCCATACAATTTTGTATCTGAAGTTTTCTTTGTATCTTACGTTTCTCATGTAACCCTTATTAGGTGAACTCATCATAGGACTAATAGATCCATGGTTAGATTTCTTTGGTTTCTTTTGTATTGTAGACATGTGTTACTGTCTTTCAAATTCATGGCAAAAATAGTTGGATAGCCTGGATACTTTATTAGGTGAGTATTTAGCTATGTCTGCCAATTAATACCTTAGAAACCATTAGCAATGAGTCATATTTTTTTTCCTTTACTTTTAGATGTTTTGGCACCAAACTTAAGAGCTTAAGAAAGATTGACTAAGCATGTTTCTGTACCTATATTTTGCAATAAAATGTTAAATTATTGCTCCTACATTTGTTCACAGTTTAAGAAATTTAGTTTTATTTATATTCACTTTTAAAATATGTACCATTTTGAAGATGCCTTCTGTGGATGTGGATTTCCTGGTTAAAACTGAGTAACAGCTTTTGTTAAAAGACAAAAAGATCTGAAATGGCGGAGAAAAACTTTTTTATAAAAGGAAGAATGATTTAATTTTAGGCAATTTTTAACAATGTATAACTAATTGCCCATGTATAATTCTAGCAGACAAACTGTTCTAATAGGTATTTGATACTATTGGACATTTTGTTCAAGTTTTTTCTTCAATAAAAAAGGAGCAAATTTTCATTTACATTCCTAGCTGTCAGGAAAGGGGAATCTTTTATTGTACAAGATTTTATCTGGTATTGTTACTTGAAGATCTGATGTACTATAATTCCATGAATCAAAATTAATAAATGTCTATCATCTGAATCTGAAGACTTTGGATGCTTTTCAAAAAGCAAAATTAATTTCAGGAACCTTTGATAAGTTGATGTTGTAATTAATGCAATTTTGCATAGTTACTGTAAATAATATCCCACCACAATTAGAGATACTTTTTTCTCCATTACTAACTACATTTGTTTGATATCAAAATAAGTTCAGGTAGGGACCTTTTACCTCAATTATCTTTTTCCTAAAATATAAATTTGAAGCTGTTGTTTTTACATTTAATGACGACTATCCTTATAAGCCATGCTCTACTTATATAGTAAGAGGATTTCTCTTACATAGCAAACTTATAAGGATTGTGTTTCTGTTAATTTTAGAGGGCTTTTTTTTTTAATGGAAGTAGAGGACATTATGAAACATTTGAGTTGCTACTACAGGTTTTTTTTTTTTTTTTTTTTTTTTTCTGAAAATGTCTAATCTTGCCATTTATTTTTCCTTTCTGAATCTCTCTAAAGAAGTACAGCAACCTGTATCATTTGAAATCAGGAGTGGGGAATGTCTGTCCTGTGAGCCATATAAGGCCTACAAAATCATTTGGTCTGGCAGGACTTGAAATTTAATAAATCTGTAGGTCGGCTAATTTTTAAATTTATAATTTTTAATGGCCTGCGAATGGTGTTATGAATGTCCAAATGGCCATTGTCAGAAAAATGGTTCCCCAACCTTGTTTGAAATGGTTATCTTAGTCTGGTAAAATAAATGTGGATGTGTGTCATTGTTACAGCTTCAAGATGAAAGTGTATTGATAATGGTAAAATAGTTTTTCTATTCTGATCAAACCAAAAGTTAAAACAATAAACTACATTATAAGCTTTATTGTTGCTCACTAATTATAAAATATCATAGTTGGCATTTGTGTGAATAAATATAAGAATAGGAAAAGGTCTGAGTGCTTTGTGGCTGATTGAAGTCGCCACCTTCTGGAGATACTGTGTTTCTGTTCTATTCAGTGTGCAGAATGCTTTATAGAACATTTGGAGTGGGTATGTGTGAGGTAGAATGAACTGTACAAATTAGAGGCTGCTTACATTCCTTTTTCAAATCACCATCTTTTTTTAATGTTGAGAGAGCTTTTTGACCAGAATGGCTGAGAGAATGACAATGTTGGTTTTAGAAATGTATAAATAATGGGAAATTACCATATGTTGATCTGATACTGCCATTTAAATCATCAACTCACAATTATTTATTGAGTTCCTCTAAGGTGTTCAGTTTTGTTCATGTCTTAAACCCAGAGAGATTATGGTAAATGTGGACTAGACTGAAAATAAGAACATGAGTGCAGCTGCTTTTTATGCCTTGTTCCTTCCTTATTTTTAGACAATATTTAATGAGTAAAACATTAAAGTAAAACTGGACATCTAAATTTTCTATTCAGTGTCAAGCAGTTCTGATGTTTGACTAGGAAGTTGACTGAGATCTTGAAGGCTGGGTAACCATTGATATTAGCATTAATTAGCAGTTGCATTAATTAGCAGTTGCTCTAAGCACTAGGCTTTGGCCAACTTTTAAAAGATGTTTCTACTAATCCACTTACTCAGCCATATCCTAAACCTATAATCAGGTTACCAGTAAAACATTTTCAGTTACAAAAAATTGCCCCAAAACCCCAAACAGTTTTTGTTTGGCACCATCAGTTCCTTAAAACTGTCAGGCGGTATATCCTCTCCTTATAAATCTTTTTACCAAAGCCTGTTTTCAGCAAAATATTAGTTCCTGGGCATTAAAAGTTATATGAGTAAGAGTGTTCTGAATCACTTGAACAGTTAATACAAATTGTAGTAAAATAAGCATTTTTGATGCCATTTTCAAGGTACATAAAGCAGCCTGAAAGTTTGAAAAATTCTTAGTTCTGTTCCATCATAAAAAGAGATAATTCAGTTCAGCATTTCCTTGGTTGTATTTTTTAAATTTGTTAAAAGTGAAAGACCAATGCTTTAACTTAAAACTTCATACTTTGGTATTTTCCTTTTGTATTCAAGTAAACTCTATTTTTAAAACAATAAGGTTCTAATTAGTATATCACCAGAAATGCCAATATAGTTCCCTGATGTTTAATATTTGTTTTAACATGTTTTTTGATACAATGAAAAGAATATGAGAAGTTAAGAACACAGGATTCAGATTCTTCACAAAGCAACCATAACCTTGGACAAATAATTTCAATAAGGGAAATAAATTGTTAGCCAATATATAAGATTTCTTTTAATATACTACTCTGTGTTTCCAGTATAGAATACCATAAAATTTTTGAGATTTAACAAACTTTTTTGACTATCTCCTTCCTTCACCTTCCCCTGAAATTCCAAATGAAGTTGTCTAGTGTCTCTCTCTATCTCTGAGATGCTGGGTGTCAACAATAATAAAGCTATGTATTTTTTTGTTTGTTACAGTATTCATTGTCAAGGGCAGTTGGTAAGTATACTGTGTAGAATTACTCAGTATAAACTTAGATTATCTTTAATTTACTATTTATTTCACAATATGTGAATTATTTGAAGTCCAAAATAATTTTTATCTCCAAAGTTTATAGTGAAAATTAGCATTTCCCTTCTTTATGCTCTTTATACCTAGCTGTTGCTAGCTAGGTAACTGCTTTCAAATATTGCAATCATCTTTTACAGTACTAACCTTTTTGTATTTCTAAATGGCATGATTATTTTGCTAATTCTCTGTATTTCAGCTTTAGATTTCTGTTAATGGTCTCTTTTGGAATATGAAGATTAAACTCTTGTTCTTCTAGCTGTTCTCTAAACACATAGCTTGTTCCTTCATCCTCCCAATACAGTGCAATTATGTCACACTTTCTGATTTATGTAACGTTCAATGTTTACATTCTTTTGGCTATGTAAATGTTGTTAACAAATGACTGTATAGTATCTGTAATTATACTTCCCTTTTTTGGTTCAATTTTTGTTTTAAGTTGTTGGAATTAATAATATAATTATTTCATTTTCTTAGTGTTCTTTATAGCAGGCATTAATTTATATCCAGGCTGTCGTCTAGAAGCATAAATCTCTCAGTAGGTAATATAATCTATTATTTTTCCTTTAAAAATTTTCTTGTTGGAGTTTTCTATGTTAATATGAGTTGATTGCTTTTCACCTCTCATGTTGGAGCCCCCATTTCCCAGATTCTTTGGCTTCTTCCCTCATTTTGGTGTTTTATATCTTCAACAACTTCTTATGAAAGATTGCATAAACAATAAATTATTTTTGATTTGTTGAGGTGACTCAGTAAGGCTGAATTCTACCATTACATTCAGATGAAACTTTATGTTGATGTCTAGGGTAGAAATCAGAAATCCTGTGCTTCTAAATTTTAAAATATTGTACCAGTGTCTTCTCACTTTCATTGAAATTGTTGAGAATTCATTGTCATTCTGATTCTTGATACATAATATGTGTCCTGTTTCTGTTTGTTTGGAAGATATCAAGATCTCATCTTTTTAAAAAATTATTTAAGGTATACTGATTTCATGTATTTCATATATACAGATTCAGGAACATAATGATACTTCCCTCTCTCCCCTCCTTCCTGCCCATGCTCCAACCTTTCTTCCTCCTTCCTCTCCTATTCCTGTTCTTATTTTTTTTTTTTTTTTTTGACAGGCAGAGTTAGTGAGAGAGAGAAAGAGAGAGAAAGGTCTTCCTTTCGTTGGTTCAACCCACAAATGGCCGCTACAGCTGGTGTGCTGCACCAATCCGAAGCCAGGAGCCAGGTGCCTCCTCCTGGTCTCCCATGCAGGTGCAGGGCCCAAGCACTTGGGCCATCCTCCACTGCACTCCTGGGCCACAGCAGAGAGCTGGACTGGAAGAGGAGCAACCAGGACAGAATCTGGTGCCCCAACCGGGACTGGAACCCGGTGTGCTGGCGCCGCAGGCGGAGGATTAGCCAAGTGAGCGGCGGTGCTGGCCAATAACTGTTCTTAATTTTTATAAAGATCAGTTAACTTTATACTCATAAGATTAATGCTATACTGGCCGGCGCCGCGGCTCACTAGGCTAATCCTCCGCCTTGCGGCGCCGGCACACCGGGTTCTAGTCCCGGTTGCCCCTCTTCCAGGCCAGCTCTCTGCTGTGGCCCGGGAGTGCAGTGGAGGATGGCCCAAGTGCTTGGGCCCTGCACCCATGGGAGACCAGGAGAAGCACCTGGCTCCTGCCATCGGATCAGCGTGGTGCGCCGGCTGCAGCGCGCCGGCCGTGGCAGCCATTGGAGGGTGAACCAACGGCAAAAGGAAGACCTTTCTCTCACTGTCCACTCTGCCTGTCCAAAAAAAAAAAAAAAAAAAAGCTTAATGCTATACTAAATAGAGTTCAACAAATAGTATAAAGGGCTGTTTAAAATCATCGAATCTCAAAATGTCAATTTCACTCCTATAGATTGCTTTTTTGGTACTCTGTTAGTTACCACAGATCAGGGAAAACATGCTATTTGTCTCTTTGAGACTGGCTTATTTTGCTAAGTATAATGGTTTCTGATTGGATCCATTTTGTTGCTAAAGAAAGGATTTCATTATTATTACTGCTGTGTAATATTCCATAGTGTATATGTACCATAATTTTTTTATTTCTTCATCTTTATCTTCAGTATTCTGAAATTTCTTGGTGAATGAGAGTATGCATTTTATTTGCCCATTGAGTTAATCATTGATGGGCTCTTTTAAAGGGGAATTCATGTCATTCATTTCTGAGAGGTTTTAAAATATTATTTCCTGGGTGAATTCCTTGCCTTTATTTTTTTCTTATCACTGTTTCTGGCTGTCATTCACATATGGCTAGGTCTGCTTTTAAAAATCTCATAATGTGGCTGGTGTTTTGCCATAGTGGGTAAAGCTGCCGCCTGCAATGCTGGCATCATATATGCGTACCACTTTGTGTCCTTACTACTCCAATTCTGATCCAACTTCCTACTAGTAGCCTGGGAAAAGAGGCAGAGGATGCCCAGGTGCTTGAGCCCCTGCTACCCACATGGGAGAT